TTTGCAGGACAATTTCACAATGAGGACATGGAAGTTCATGCTTGGTCAGAAGTCGAAGGCGTGGGCCACTACCGTTGGCTTCAAGGGTCGATGAACCACTTACCTCGTGAACAACAGTTGGAATTTATAGCAGAAGTTATGCGACAGATCTTCATTTTCTTGCGTTGGTATTGATCAACAATATTGCTTCTCAGAGACCTCGAAGCTAAAGGAGGGAGTGATGTTAGGGACATATTCCTTAGAACTTTCTAGAGAGAAGTTTCTAGAACCTTCTAGAAAACAAGCCTCTGGAACCTTCTAGAAGAGAAGCCCCTGGAACCTTTTAGAGAGAAGTTTCTAGAAGCTTCTAGAAAGGAAGTCTTTGGAACCTTCTAGAAGAGAAGTTTCTAGAAGCTTCTAGAAAGGAATCCCCTAGAACTTCCTAGTTAATAGAAGTAGCTCGAGAAGTTTCTAGAACCGTTTAGAAAAGAAGCCTTTGGAACCTTCTAGAAGCTTCCTATTTAATAGAAGTAGCTCGAGAAGCTTCCTAAGTAGGAGTATATATAGGGATCGAGGCTGAAGAGTTCTTCAGTCTCGACAACACATCTCTTGGAGTTCTAGCTCACCTTTCTGGTGTTGTTCTTGTACTCATCTGTTTAATCTAATTCTGTCACTTCTTCTTGAACTTCTTGTTAGATTTCAAGTCTATATTTTGTGTCTGTGACATTCATCTTTAATTACTTCAATATTTTTTTTGGCCAATAGAGTAATTATAAGTGTTTGAATAGCTTAGGAGTCTTAACCACTTGAAGGATAGAGATTTCTTTTAGCTCTTTGTCAAGCACAAGATTTGGAGCAATCAAAGCAACTTAAGCTATTGATGCATGAGTGGAATAAAAAATTCTCAACTTAGTTACAAGTTCTATAAAATCAAAGAAAAAAATCATTAACAAATAAAAGCATCTCAAATTTATATACACAATTATAAGCACTATCTCTTAGCATATGCACAAAAATGTAACTATAAAATTCATTTTTTAATCCAAATTATAAGGCCTTAGTCTAATACTTCTACCTTTTAAAGTACTAAAATCCATATAGAGCATATGGACCTCTCTTCTTATAATTACTATACTTGCTATTGATCCTCCTGTTTTCTACTAGTAAAACTACTATTTTTGTATTTTTGGCTTCATCATTATATTCAAAAATATCCAAATAATCTAGTTAAAGTATAGGGCCTTCAAACCTCGCTCAAATATTTCATATTGGCCTTCTAAAATAAAATAAAATAAATTATGTAAGTTTTAAAAATATACTCTAAAATTTCTAGATAATTCTAAATATATTTTAAATAAAATTTAAAAAATCCATATGATATTTTATGATCCATATACAATATATCATATAATATTTTTTAAATGCTAAAATTAATTTAAAAATATTTTTTAAAACCTTAGAAATTAGTTTATAGTAATAGAATCAATTTAAATTAATCAAAAATTCTAATTTCTACACAAATGATTGAAAAGACATGAAGTTATTTTTCATACTTCTTCTATCTACGTACTAATATTCATAGGTATTGAATGAATAATAAATATAAATAAAAGACCAATGTAGATATTGGATTCAATAGCTAAATATTAATTTTTATAATTAACAGATAAAATTAAATTAATTAAGATAATTACCTCTATAATTTAATAATAATGCTCATGTAACTTATATATCCTTATAAATTATAAAAAATATTCAAATAATCAAGTAATCTCTTTAATATTAATATTTTATATCCAAATAACATAAAATCCTATATTTAATAATACTACCAATTAAAATGTATTGATAGAATTTATAATCATTGAAAATAAAATAATAATAATAAAATATTAAAAATTTATTTTCTTTTGAATTTCTAGGCATTAAAGAATAAATATAGCTTATATATATATATATATATATATATATATACATATTTATATAGTTAACTTTTAATTATAAAAATAGCTTGATTAATAATATATTATTTATTTTAATAAAATTTAAAAGTCACAAGAAAAAATATAATATTAAATAATAAAATTTAAGAATAAAAAATATATAAAAAATAAATCAAAAGGTTTTATTATTTAATAATTTATTTTTTGGCAATTAATTTGGGTGCACTCCACTGCAATCTTAATTGTCAAATTATTGCATGTCTTAAGAGCCTTTATAGAAATATATATATTATTCCTAAGATGTAAGCATGCTTATAGCAACTTAACAAATCTCACTTGCCTACGTCAAGCCCATTGGCATTGTTTGATCTATAAACAATGTAATTTGCAATTGCACAATTCCAAAATTAAATATATTTCTATTCTTAAGTTACTAGTAGTTCAAATATGTTTTAATAGAATATTACATCATTTTTTTCTCTTGTGTATTAATTTTTTTTTAAAAAAAGATACAAATGTAATATTATTCAAATTCTTGTTTGAAAGTGATTGATATTTTTTTGATTTTTATAATTAAATTATTTTAAAGCATTATTTTATTGTAAAGATCATTATGTATTAAGATGGTTTTGATAAAAATATCATAATATAACTATTTTTATATATCTTCATTCCTAGGTTTTATTATGTGTGCATGTTCATATTCTATTTTATTATTTATTTATGTATGTATATTCATATTCTTTAGGATAATACATTAAAAGCTTTAGTTAAAACACCTTTGTTAGCATTCTTATTCTAACAAATCCATCACATTTCAAGTTTAGAATCTTAAGTTATAATTCCAACATAAGAACTAGCATTTTTTTTTATTACTTATTAATATTTAGAAAAAAATATTCATTAGAAAATTACTCATGTATGTAAAATTGTACACACAATAGCCTGGTTATAATTATTATAAAAGTGAGGTAGAATAAAAATAATATAAATATTCTTATAAAAAAAATTTAAATAAAAATATCCATGTAAATACCAATTTTAAACAGAAGAACCCAACATTGCTACTTAGTCCACATTGATTTTTATTGAAATTATTTTTTAATATAAAATAAATATATTATGTATTGATATATTATAAATAAATATCTAAGTAGGTTAGTAATGATTTATAAAGATTAGAACATACAAGTTATACTTTCTGTTATGAAAATTGCACAAACAATTATTGTTATGATTTCACAAAAAACACCTTTGGAAAATAGATGGGTATTACAAGAGAATTGAGGACATTTGATGACAAGATATTTATGACCACAGAAAGTTACCAAATAAAAGTCATGAAAAAAGAAGGCATGAAACAACCATACACAACCCAGCATTGAAGTACAGCCACTGTCTATACCTTTGAACCATAAGTACTGATTACATTTCTTTCCACACAAATTTTATGTGTAAATGGTTTGAATCTAACTGGTTTGCAAAACTTTATTACAACAATAAAAAAATAAAAATAAATAAAAATATAAAACTTGCAAGAAAATTACAATGAAAGCAGCAACACACTAACTTACCTCATCCACATTAGAAATGAAAACGATGAAAACCATACATCATTGTGCAGCTCCAGTACATTCACTGCATATTTTCATCAACAAAATGTATGTGGCAAACATCTTCCCTATCTGCTGGACGTGTCCTCCGCAATTGGTTGAGAACATCTGCTGCACTGATGATTGCTTCCTCAAATTCGTAGCTTCCTTTCAATGCTTGATATAAGGGTGTCGACTTTCTCTCATAATTGTAAGTACACAATGACAGGTAAGTCATGTGTATACATTGAATTTGCACTCTGTGGTATGAGATGCCTTGCAAGTCAACACGTATGATCTTCGGTCTGCGCGTGGCAGCCATTGAATCGCCCGTGGTGGTTTAACTGATAATTATTATCAAAGCAGTTTTTGCATACGACCCCTGAACTGAGGCGATGACTTGAGCTAAAACGTCCATAAAAACACTTTAAAACACCACAAAAATAGGCTAACCACCAACTTCATGCCGCCGAGCCGAGAAAACGCTTTACAGCCAGAATGCTGGCGTTTGCTAATAATTCATTCAACAAGGGTGAAAGCCTCGCTACAAAGGTGTCAAATTTTGCATGTATACAAATCTGCGACTCTGCTTCCTTTTTGTCACAAATTGTGGAAAGCGAAATCAGAAGCTTCGAGCACGTGATCGTGAAGTGTCACCGCATTTAGAACTATCACCAAACTGCTCAATGCTTATCGAAAACAGCGAGAATGGGTTGAAGCTTTTCTTGTTGCAGACCAAAACATGTTCATCCAGAGGATGCAGTTTTGTTCATGGACTTGTAGTTCACAAGACGGCTTCTCAATATCGACGATCTCCAAAGATTTATTTCTTTCTTTACGAGTTACATTTACTACTTCAACAAAATGGAATACGAAGTATTATGCTGCCAACTGTAAATTTTCTATGAAGAGTCGTACCGGTTTTTAAATATTCCACAAATTATATATATATATATATATATATATATATATATATATATGTATATATATTATGAAACATATTGGACAAAAGTTGTTATAGATTCAATAACAGCATGCTCAAATGTATTCAATGAACTCGACGAATGCCATATTGGACCTATTGTAGATGAATGCTCCAAAAGAACTATTCTGAGATGCTTTGTTCATAAGGAGATTCTGGATGATGATCCGAATTAGCTTGTTGTTACCCGCCAAAGTGATCAAACAACATGAGGTCAATTGAAACTTGAGCGCAGGCATCCATGGTCAACCGATACGTTCACGTTTTGAAAGTATATTCGTTGAGGCGTTAGCGTGTTTCACCTGGGCCCCGAGCTCCAGAGTCCAATCACACGCATTATTGCGAGTCATCGCCGAGTTTCGACGCACCTGCAAAATAGTATGTTGTTTCTATTTATGTCAGGATAGGATCTAAATCTGTACTCCTTGGGACGTACGACCGACTCCTCAGGTGGCGGGTTACTTTTTCCTCCATATCCAACATCGCCCCAGCGTCCGATTTCAACCTCTACTTGAGATCTTCGGCAACCTCACCGTATATATGTGCCTCTTCCCTGCCCCTGATGCAGTGAGGAGTCATTCAGTGTTCAGGTACAGGATAGTTCGGGTGATATCTGAGCAATAACCGCGTGCTGAGCTCTACAGTCTGCTCTGTGCTACTGAATCGGTAATCTCTCTGAACCTGGTTGTGACGATTTAGGGTGGTGTTTTCCGGAGACACGTTCAGGTTGACTCGATGGTATTAGATTTCCAGGGAGGTGACACAGATTTTGTGGCCCGGATGATGGATGAGCATCCTCTAGGCTGGCGGGTTGAACCCTTGACGTGCTGTCTGCGTCCTGTAGCAGGTCGTGCATTGCGCTGCGATTATCCCCTCGTTAGTTAACACATGTATGTGCACTATTTTCGCAGGTGATTTGGTAACATGGCTGCCCGTTTCGCTTTAGTGATGCTGGCCACCATGGCCATGGTGTATGCTGCCCAGGCCGGTGACCCAGAGCTCACCACCGACTTCTTCGTTCCGATGGGCACCAACAAAGCCGACTTGAACGGTGACTACTTTACCTCGATGGTGTTCCGTGGGGAGCCCGCAGTACCCGAGGGTGCCAAGATCGGCGTGAAGAGGATCACTTCTGACTCCTTCCCAGTGCTCACCGGACTCGGCGTGTCATCCGCCCAGATCAAGTACTTGCCCGGCGGCATCAACCCTCCCCACACCCACCCCAGGGGCACCGAGCTGTTGATTGTGCAGAAGGGAATCCTCACCGTGGGTCTGGTGGACACCACCAACAAGTTCTACACCAAGGAGTTGCAGGCGGGCGACGTGTTCGTGTTCCCCAGGGGTTTGGTGCACTACCAGATCAACTTGAGCCACAAGCCAGTGATCGCTTACGTCGGGTTCAGCAGTTCCAACCCCGGTACCGTGTCACTGCCTGCAACCTTGTTCGGGTCAGGCATCCCAGACAACGTGCACATGGCTGCATTCAGGGTCAACCAGCATGTCGTTGACAAGCTCCAGGCTCCATTCAAGATGTAGATGACTATTTGAAATGGATATCGGACGACATTCTTGTTTGAAACACTATTCGATTGAATAAAAGCTGCATTCTTTGATTGATAAATTCTTGGCTGATGTAAGGAGGAAGTTCTGTCTCATTGGATGATGTTTATCATGTTTTATCATTCGAGGAAAGTTTTGTGTCTGTCGACAACAGCTGATGTCAATGCCGTTCTCCCAGAGTACTGATGAGTACAAGAAGCAGATGTGCGTTGGAATCCGAATGGCCCTCTGAAGCGATACTTGACCGTCTTGTTTTCTGCTGACCAAGATCAACAATTGATGTTGTGTCGAAACAACTTCAGTTGTGCGGTATGTAATTGAGGCTGTTGAAACCCGTGCGCTGTGCTGATTGATACCGAGTCTGAAACCCACTCAAGCCGAGGGGAACAGCAGCTGTTGGGGCAGTTCTGTGCACTTCGTAATTGGGACGATTCTCGATCTTTCCTGAACTGGAGAAGAGCGATGGCATGTTGGAATCGAAATAGAGTATAGACTTCTATTCGCTGCATCCTGTTGAAGGTACAATGATGTGCAGCTTGGTTGGGGTGATGCCATTGCACTTGTGCAGCCCTGAGAATTGAACGGACATTTTGTTATTTGGCAATTGGTGACACTTGTAATGGGAGATGTGGCAATGCTGAAGATTCAATGAAGCTCATGGAGTACTGAAAGGGCGAAGTGGATTGTGGGCTTTACCATGGGCAATATACCCTGCGAATGCCGTTAGACTCTCCTGAAATTAAGTTTTATGGACATGGTTATGTAAGGAATGTAATGGCACGAAGTCAACACGTTCATTTAGTATTGGGCGTATATGTAGGCAAGAAATCTTATTCTAATAAAAATTTTAAAAAGAGTTCACAAGAAGAGAATAATACTTCCAAGCCACATGAAAAGAGAAATCTTACAATCGATAAGGACTGCTTTTTCTACAAGAAACAACGTCACTTAATTAATTAAAGATTGCCAAACAAGAATAGCAACTGAAAATTATAGTAACAGAAAGTAAAAAATGTTCAAAACCAAATAAACTATATGTGGCAGCACTTATAGTGATAGAAAAATCAGATTTCATGTGGTTAGTGGATTTGGGAGCAATTCAACACATGTGTCATGAATTAGAAGGATTTGTAAAATACAATAAAAGCAAAGACATGCAAGTTTTTCACTCAAAAGATGAATCTACATATATAACAGAAGAATATGGTGATGTAAATATAAAACTTATAAATAGAGATAAGATCATACCAAATGTTTACATATGCTGGGTCTTGCAAAAAAAAATTCTTTACTAAACAATTGGATAAGGTAGGAGGAGAAATTTACATTAAAGCTATGACATCTACACTCATAACTATATATATATATATATATATATATATATAATAAAAATAAAAAGGTAATTTGAATTAATAATAAATAAAACAAAATGAAATAGGAAAAGTTTAAAGTAAAATTAGAATTAAATATAATTTTTAAAATATTAATTATATTTATATAAATCTATTTTATAATATATAATATGATTAATTAAAAATTTTAAATATAAAAATTAGAAATTAGAAATTAAAATAATAAGGTAAAAGATAGATAAGTTAGAAATCACTAACCTCAATTGTATTATGTTTAAAGCAACAACTTCCTTCTACTCTAAAAATTGCCAAAAGTTTAATATTAATGAAATTGCAATGAAACTTGCACCACTACAAGCTTATGTTTAGGATGCTTATCTTTAGAAAAATCTAATGTCAAGTAGTCACCAAGCACTAAGAAATTCCTCTCCAAATATGATGTACATAAAATTGCTAAAGCAATGAATCCTCTTATATTCAAAAATTCATTAAAATTTTAACATATTTCTAAATTTAATAAATATTAGCTTTTTAAAAAGCTTATATCAAGATACATGTATTGTCAAAGTTTCAACTTTACTTATCAAGCACATGAATATTGATTAATAAAAAATTGAGTGCAAATCAAAATTCTATTATACTATATAATATTTTATTATCTTTTGAATTTAAAAATTGGAATGCGTTGTTAACACCAATAAAGAAGAGAAATAGAAAACTCTCTAATAATGAAGAATAGATTAAAACCTCCACTCAACATGACCAAGTAAGATTAATCACAACATATTATTTACATTTATACATACAACATTAAAATTACTATATTTTACCAAACATACTATTAATATAAAGGTAAAATTCATTGTTCACATCAAATTATAAAATGGCCTCAATTAATATATATATATATATATATATATATATATTTTTTAATTGGTGATGATAAAGTAGAGGAAGTAATTAACAAGAAAAAAAAGAAGAACAGCACAAAATAAGTGAAATAAGTACAATTAAATAATTACATATTAAATCACTAGCCACAATTTGTTTATCAAATTTTTATCCAACAAAAAATAATAAAAAAAATTAGATAGATTATTTTTTTCCAATGATATAAAAAATAGATAAATCTAACTTACTATGAATAAGTAATAATATTTTAAAGATAGAATATAAGTGATAAAGAAGTCAATTAAACTTTTTTTATCTTAATAATAACTTATTCAAGAAACCAAGAGTTTGAGCCTCATCAAGGCTCACAAGTAGTGTGTAAAGATGTCATTAGAAGTCCACAAGTCCTTGGTCTTATCCTTTTGTCTACACCCAAGGTGCCACAATCTATATGGAACTTGTTACCTTTCTATCTACAAGAACTACATTCATTGCCCGTCTTCATATTTTCTATTAGTAGAACTAATATTTTTGTATTTTTGATTTCACCATGGTATTCAAGAACTTCCAATTGGCTTAAGAACTTTGGAAGGCCTTCAAATCTTATACCATTTTTTCATAATAGCCTCCTAAAATGGTAAAAATTATTTATACTAAAGTCTTAAATTTTTTTCTAAATATTCCAAAATAATTCTAAATAAGTTACAAATAAATTATAAAAATACTTTGAATATTTTTATAATTATTGTATCAATTTAAAACTAATTTTTGATATCTTTATTATTATTAATTACAATAATATCAAATCAAAGATCATATTTTTATATAAATAATTAAAAAGATATGAAGTTCTTTTTCATATTTTTTTAAACTATTGATTAAAATTTATAGATTTTTTTATAAATTTTACATACAAATAAAAGACTAATATAGATATAAATTTTAATAAATAAACATTAAAACTTAAATTTAAATAATAAGAATAAATCAACTAAAATAATTGATTTTAAGATTCATTAAGATTCTATTTTTATAACTTATTTTAAAATAAGATTTTTATAATTAATTTAACCTTTTAAAGTCTAATAAAGATTTATATAATCAAAAGGCTCTTTAATTCTAATATTTTTAATAAATCTCTTAATTATAATCTATGAGTCGGATGTATACATGTTATTATCTCTAGGATAATCAATTGGGCCAATTCATTCATATTTTTGTATGACTTGAGCAATGTATCTATTACGGACATACTCATATAAGCCAATAATTACATATATAAATAGATAGAAGTAAGTAAAAGTAGATAAAAATAAGTTAATCCTATAGAATTTGATATGAAAGCTTCCTAGAAGCTTTATAGACATTGCTTTGACTTTATAGGTGTCTTTAATTGACTTTATGGATTAGAAACGTGGTCAACAAGTTGGACATGTGCCACACATGTTGTTAGCTTGAAGACCAAGCTAACAATGTGGCCCACACGTAGAAAAACTTGTCTTGTAAGTCAAGGCATGTGTTCTACAAAGTCAACACATATTGGAGGTCCTATAGAACGTCGCCACATAGCTCCTAGTTAGATAATATATATAGCGACAATAGTGAAGCCTTCTTCACTCTTGCCAACTCCTTTCTTTTTTCCATTCTAGTTTCAAGAATCTTCATGTTTTCTAGTCTTTGGCAATAGCCATTCCAGTTTCTCTTTCAATATACATACTTGTTTATTTATATTTTTTTACCTTTCTTTGAGTGAAGGCTCTCTTGTCTAAATTGCTTTTTCATCGAATTCTTGTCCTTGACAGATTGACAAGAGTATACTTACAATATCAGAGCTTTGTCTTTTCTTAATTAAGAATAGAATATGCCTTTTTCTTGATAAGACATAAGCGTATTAAGAGTTGCGGATTACCCTCTTTTAAACTGATATTATTTTTAATATTTTCTTTATTCTGAAGTCCGTTCTCTTACTTGTCTTGAGCAATATTAGACATTTTTTTTTTAGGTGTTACCATGGCAGAGCTTGTCGAATTGAAGAGTGCAATGACACAAATGCAAGAACAACTAAGGAAATTAATGCTTGTGATGCATCAACTTAATTCACCAACAGAAAGAGGAACAAGAATAACAAAAAGTAGAGATGTAGAGATGGTCAGAGCTGCCTCAACATCTACATTGAATCATGCCCCTTCTTCCATAATGGAACACCATTCAAATGCTAGAGAACCAAGAATTGTCTTATCCGAGAAATTTGATGGTACAAGATCAAAGTTTTGAGGATTCATCAATCAAGTACAATTGACAATCAAACTTCAACTCCAAAGCTATCCAACTCCAGGATTATAAGTCAGGTTTATTGAAACACTACTTTTCGGTTCTGCATTATCATGGTTTTCATCTTTTCTTGAACGAAAAGATCCAATATTGGATAATTTAGAAGCTTTCTTGCTGGAATTTTGATCTATGTATGGAGAACATGATACAGTTCGTGTTGCAACAAATAAGATCCGTATCTTGCGATAAAGAAATCAATCTGTAATAACATATGCTTCATAATTTTGACAACTTGCAATTGATATCAAGTGAGATGATGCTGCACTCATTAGCCAATTCTTTCATGGACTACAATATGAGGTAAAAAAATTGATGCTCAATTTATTCGATTCTCAAACATTGAGTCAAATAATTGATTTTGCTGTAAAATGTGATAATCGACTTTTTGAATTTCGATCTGAGAGTTACATAAGTAGGCCTAAATATTATTACAATTCAATGTCAATACTTACGTCTTCTCAACACATATCTTTAGAAGTAAAAGATA